TTGTTGCAGGAAATTACTTTGTGACAGCGGGGTCTCGATAGGTAAATTTCGTGAAGGCCAAACAGTCGAATGAACCGTGCCCATATAGGTTGCCTCGTATTCTGACAATAAAACATGTACGCATGTAATAATCATCTATTAAGAGAAGTATTTTGCCTTGCCAAATATCTCATGCCTTAAAAATTAGACAATTAGACAAGATCGAATTTTTGAAACCACGAGATCATAAGACCTTATAAAGGCAACCCTCAATTTTAATAGGCACGTCCATCGCACTCGAGACTGACACTTCGAACAAGCTCGAAGTATAACGGGAAAACAAGCCCAAGAGGCAAGTCCCAAACTAAAAAGGCTACGGCCAAATTAATACGGCTCGGAGACGTCCAAATTCCGTACCAAAATAGGCCTTCTAATTCTTTCACAATCGGTTCTGAAAGTCTACCCTCGGCAAAATCCTAATACTTAAGATATTTTCAAGAAAAAACGTCGAGAAATGCCAAACTCCGATAAACGTCTTAACCCAGAAAGACAGTAAAAGCAAGGTTTTGTTCGAACCCTCGAACATGACTTCATTATTTCATTGCTATGGCATTACAACCTTTGTCTAACATGAATGAAAAAAAAGAAAAGAAAAGATTATTGAAAGACAAAAAGGGGTAGGAAACCTTATATTATTAAAAAGATAAGATCGCCAAATAGAAAAGCCTGAGGGCTATTCTCACTTCGAGTTCGAAATATCACTCTTACTCGACTACTGAGCTTATAGGCTACTGAACTCGAGTTCGAATAAATTCTCACTTGGGGAATGTCCTTCGGTCCCAGTGTTTTGGATAGCGCAAGGCAACAAATAGCGACGAGGGACCGCTTCACTGAGGCGAGAGGCAGGCAGCGAAGCACTCTTCTTTTTTATATGAAACGATAATTTATACAAAACATAAAATATTATATATATATATATATATATATATATATATATAACTAAAAACTCAATAATAATAATATATTAATAAATACCATTTAAAAATTAAAGACTCAATAGATAATCATAGACTCATAGTAGATTCATAAATTAAAGTCTAATAGTCTAAACCAAGCAACATCTATTCTTCTTAAGATTTCAAATTCTACAACTTCATGAATGTTAGCATTAATATTGGTATCATCTTCATCATCAATTAGGACCGGCTTGAAACTTGCTACTCTCTTTCCTTTGTAACTTGAAGAACTCCCTCTTAAGACCATAGATATTCTCCTCAACTCCAGCCGCCATAGAAAAAGTATCCCCAATCAAGATCATCTCCTTCAATATACTTGTTCATCTTTCATATTTTTTGGGGGCTGCAGTTAACCATTCATTTGCCTCGTCAATGTTGTCCCAACAAAATTGGATCAATGTATCGCGAGCTTCATAACGTCGCGTCAATGTTCTTATTGTATTTAAATATCACTAGATCATTGAGACCGCGATAGCTCAAGCCTATTCCTTTTCTTGGAGTGAATCAAATATTCTCAGAACTCGAATGAACCCAAAATTAGGGTTTTTCAACACCAATCGAGTCTGGAGATGAAACGCAAGTAAATCAAACAAATAATAACAAAAATAGATTCAGAAACCTCATAAGAAATTAAGGCCCTTAACATGCAAACTCAAGTAGAAGAATGACATAAGGAAACACAGCAAAACATGTCAAATAACTTAACAGAAAACCTAATCGGAAGAAATAAGGGTTTTTGGAGGTAGAGTTTTAAAAGAAACTTTGAGAAAATGTTTAGAAGTTTAGAGCAAGCACAGGTCTGAAACAGACCTAAAAGAAATCGGAAGAACCTTAAAGGTTAGGGTTTCAGAAGAACCCCAAATGGTGAGAAAGGCTTTGAAAACCGTCGATCTAAGCCGGAGAGGCAAGAGTCAGACTCGAATAGGCATGGCTGGACGGAGCAAGGTCAAAGATGACCGGAGACATCCATAAAACCGAGATCGACCAAGGTCTGGACCAAGATTTTACAGGATTTCGCCTTGAAACCATGATAAACGAACACATAGAAGCCTAGGGAGGTGGATACAGGCCTCCAATGACCTTAGAAGCCATAGATTTGGGAGGTTTTAGGGTGGTAGTTGAGGGTGGCAGCTAGGGTTTGAGATAGGATTGAGAGAGACAGGGGATTTAGAGGCGGCTGGAATGAGGGAATGGGTAGGGTTTGGGGGGTTGTTAGAATTAAAAAAAGGCAAGGAATTATGAGGACCGTTGATCTTTTAAATCAACGACCAAGATTTAATGGGTCTTTGGGTCGGTAGGCGGATTTAGGATATGGGTCGGGTGTTTTAATTTGAAATTGGGCTGGGATTGGGGTTTGATTTGGGCTACAATTGAAAGCCAATCTGGCTATTTAAAATATAGCCACTTTTTCCTATTTGATTTATAGAAAATAGTAAATAGTTTCTGAAAAATAATTTAAAGTGCTAAAATGATTTATAATACATAATTAACAATTTAAAAATACAGGATCCAATTTTATGCATATAAAACATAATTAAATCTTAAAAGGGCTAATATTACAATTATGTGCAATTTAGCTTTAAAAATAGTAAATGTAATTGTAAAAATATATAAAAATTAAATTAGCCATATTTTGGCATAAATATAGAAATACAATAGATGAATTATCAAAACAATAATTTTGAAAATAGTTATTGGGGATTTTACGGATAAAAGGGGAGAAAATAAATCAATTTAAACCTTCAAAATTATGAAAAAAAATAATAAAACCCTTGGACATGCTTATATATATATATATATATATATATATATATGCTATTTTGAAGTTATTTTGCATACTAAACAATCAGAACGTATCACTCCTAAAGTGATACTACTACTAAGGTACGACCTTCTTCGTTTTTATTTATATTTTAAAATTATCCAATTGCAAGTGTTCAATCGAGGACGGTGATGGATTCTTTAACACAGAGACTTTAGGTCTGAAAGCACGCGTTGCACTCTTTTCCCTTGGACCGATTTTTGTCCTAAATGGGTTTTTCCAGCGAGGTTTTTAATGAGTCAACCATTGTTCGTGCTAACTTAGAGCAATTCAACAGTATCCGAGGCTTCTCTATAATCAACCTCGAATACTGAGGGGTATAACCTCGAATGTCAACTTTGTTGCAAGGAAATTACTTTGTGACAGCGGGGTCTCGATAGGTAAATTTCGTGAAGGCCAAACAGTCGAATGAACCGTGCCCATATAGGTTGCTCGATCTTTGACATAAAACATGTACGCATGTATAATCATCTATTAAGAGAAGTATTTTGCCTTGCCAAATATCTCATGCCTTAAAAATTAGACAATTAGACAAGATCGAATTTTTGAAACCACGAGATCATAAGACCTTATAAAGGCAACCCTCAATTTTAATAGGCCACGTCCATCGCACTCGAGGACTGACACTTCGAACAAGCTCGAAGTATAACGGGAAAACAAGCCCAAGAGGCAAGTCCCAAACTAAAAAGGCTACGGCCAAATTAATACGGCTCGGAGACGTCCAAATTCCGTACCAAAATAGGCCTTCTAATTCTTTCACAATCGGTTCTGAAAGTCTACCCTCGGCAAAATCCTAATACTTAAGATATTTTCAAGAAAAAACGTCGAGAAATGCCAAACTCCGATAACGTCTTAACCCAGAAAGACAGTAAAAGCAAGGTTTTGTTCGAACCCTCGAACATGACTTCATTATTTCATGCTATGGCATTACAACCTTTGTCTAACATGAATGAAAAAGAAAAGAAAAAAGATTATTGAAAGACAAAAAGGGGTAGGAAACCTTATATATATTAAAAAGATAAGATCGGCCAAATAGAAAAGCCTGAGGGCTATTCTCACTTCGAGTTCGAAATATCACTCTTACTCGACTACTGAGCTTATAGGCTACTGAACTCGAGTTCGAATAAATTCTCACTTGGGGAATGTCCTTCGGTCCCAGTGTTTTGGATAGCGCAAGGCAACAAATAGCGACGAGGGACCGCTTCACTGAGGCGAGAGGCAGGCAGCGAAGCACTCTTCTTTTTTATATGAAACGATAATTTATACAAAAACATAAAATATTATATATATATATATATATATATATATATATAACTAAAAACTCAATAATAATAATATATTAATAAATACCATTTAAAAATTAAAGACTCAATAGATAATCATAGACTCATAGTAGATTCATAAATTAAAGTCTAATAGTCTAAACCAAGCAACATCTATTCTTCTTCAAGATTTTCAAATTCTACAACTTCATGAATGTTAGCATTATATTGGCTATCATCTTCATCATCAATTAGGGACCGGCTTGAACTTGCTACTCTCTTTCCTTTGTAACTTGAAGAACTCCCTCTAAGACCATAGATATTCTCCTCAACTCCAGCCGCCATAGAAAAAGTACCCCAATCAAGATCATCTCCTTCATATACTTGTTCATCTTCATATTTTTGGGGGCTGCAGTTAACCATTCATTTGCCTCGTCAATGTTGTCCAACAAAATTGGATCAATGGTATCGCGAGCTTCATAACGTCGCGTCAATGTTCTATTGTATTTAATATACACTAGATCATTGAGACGCGATAGCTCAAGCCTATTCCTTTTCTTGGAGTGAATCTGCGCATAAATTGTTTAGATTAATTAATAGATACTAATAATAATACAATATGGAATATATTAATATAATAAATCTGCTTCTTATATGCTCAAATACGCTCCAATTTCTCTCGCATCCAGACGCACTACAAGTTAGGCTTAGTACTTTGATGGCAAACTTTTGCAAGTTTGGAGTTTGATGTCCAAATTGCTTCCACCATTCAACTATAGAAAAATATTTTAAAAGTTAATAAGTATAAATCAAATAAATTAAATTAAATTTATAAGGATATCTATATTAAAGTTAGTTACCTGGCGACCTTATGTCTTTGGATCTAATGGCCGCCTGTAAACCAAATATGCCCTATGCTTGTCAGTACCTACCAAACTCCTCCCCTATTTGATCTATCGTCGCTGAATTAGGGACAAACTTCTCAATACATCCGTGGTATCCAATCCACACCTTTGAATCCAAAGTTTCATCTCTAGTGTTCTTGTAAAATAATCTCGGGTTCAGAAGATGGCCTGCTGCATGCAAAGGTCGATGGAGTTGATTCTCCCACCTGGCATCAATTATCTTAAAAACTTTCTCATATTTCCTAACAACTCCCTCAAATGACGCTACAATACTCTCTTTGGCTCTATCCATAGCTTTATAAAAATAGCCCATTGGTGGTTTTCTCTCCCCATCCATCATACGAAGCACCCTAATCAAAGGACCACCAACTTTAGGAGCCCGAACGAGGTCATTCAAGAATGATGGAGAAATAAGAACTTTGGCAGTTTCTTTCCCCGCAACTTTCTTTGCATATTTATTATCTTTCCATTCATTTGAAAGAACTAACTTTCTCAAATTTTTCTTTTGCAAGTAAAAACTATACAAAGTTAAGAAAGTCATTGCAAATTTAGTCTTGGCCGGTCTCACCAAATTTCTTTCTTTTGTGAATTTCCTCGTCAAATTCAACAACAACGGCCTCTGACTGATGTAAGAATATAGCTTGACGGCCTTAGTAAAAACTGTAAAAGTAACAATACCAATTTTATATTTAATACTTAATAGGACATAAGTTTAAATAAATTTAAAGCTTTAAAGATAATTATCGAGGCCAACCCCGTACTACTATTGAGTAGCGAGAGAGGTCGAAGCAGGTTTTACCCGATTAAGGTCGGGATCGATTTCCACAGGGAGCTAGATATTGGAGTCGGGTGTCTATCTAAAGAGGAGTTGTGTATTTGCTCTAAATTGCACTTCTACACATTTTGGGTTTTGATTTACTTCTAATTCTATAAAACTACAATGCTCAATTAAACTAAAATAAGCTAAGGTTAAACTATTGCGAGTTGTTCAAATGATTAAAAGGCACTAGGGTAGTGACTTTCGCCTAGGTGGTCAATTGACGGATACTTAAGTCTAAGGCATGATTGTCACATTTGGGGAGTATGATATAACCATTGCACGATTCTACTCACTCTACACCTCTCGGTAGTTCGAGTTATTTTGCTCGAATTGACTTTCTCATGACCAATTGGGTATGCAGCATTGCACAAGCAATCAAGGTTCAAGTCGGGTATTACCATCTCTAGGTTTAACTCTTTAATTGGAGCTATCAATCTCTTGAGTACGCCCCAATTCCTTCTTGGACTAATTTCGGAGACTTAGGCTCTCTTTCTCAAGAAGAACCAAAGTCAACTAAACACAAACTAGTGTTTGCAACGACTAATTCAGCAATTAAACATGAAATTAGTCCAAATATCAAACACCCATAGTCAATCAAGCCCTAAAACACAAGACCCATCAATTATCCACACTAGGGTTGAGCCACAACCCTAGCTTATGGGTCTAGCTACTCATAATTAAAGAAGAAAACAAAGAAATAGATGAAGAAAAACTCATATTAATTAATGGCTAAATTAAACTTGAAGATTCAATGTTGAAATAAAGCTAAAATTACTCAAAACAGCTAAAATAAACGAAGTCACGAGCGCAGCCTTCAATACAAACTATCTGATGACCTAAAAATGGGAAAAGAAGTTATTTATACTAAGCTGAAAAATCTTGACAAAAATACCCCTACGGGGCTAGTGCGGACCGCACAAAATCACGTACGGCCGCACTAAGGCACTTGACTTGAATATCTAGCTCTCTGAACTTGGGCGATGCGGACCGCACAGAATCGAGTGCGGTCGCGGTGGCTTCTAGTGTGGTCCGCATGAAATGGAGCGCGGACCGTATTGGGCTTCAATCCTCAACTGGCAACTCTCTTAACTCTGGGCTCTGTGGACCGCACTAAATCGAGTGCGGCCGCAGTGAATACAATACGGACAGCATTAAATCCTTTGCAGCCACATTGCCTTTTGGCCTGTGATGCACACTCTCTGAACTTCACTTGCGCGGACCGCACAGAATGGTGTGTGGCCGCACTGGCCCTGTTTGAATGAGCTTTGTCTTGTCTTGGTACTTGTGCAAGTTTCACTCCTTTTTGAGCTGATCTTTGACATCTTGTCACCTTGTTGATCAAACCTGCAATCAAGCACAACTTGTGAGCCTTTGGGACTATTTTATACACATTTCTAATTAAAACTTAAGCAAGAAGGAGTATAAAATGTATCAAAATCCCTAGTTATAAACTCCCCCAAACTTAAGCTTTTGCTTGTCCGCAAGCAAACAAAATAAGACTCACCCCTTAACAGAACATCCAAGAAAATTCAGCTGTCCTAAAGTGACCTCATATATCATCAATTGGGACTAACAATTACCATCAATACAAATGAATCATTAACAATATTTACCCTTTTTAAACACTATGGATTAAGTGCGACACAAGAGCATCAAGAGTTGACTCAACACATGACAGAACTATTTCTATTACTTTGTCTTCAACTCTCCCTAAGCAAACCTCACCTTTATGATAGTGGCACTCAGGACGAGGTTAATGGAAATTCACTCATCTCTCTCAAGGAAAGGTCACAAGTCCGGCTCTAAGTACCATATGCTTGCCCCTTATGTGAGTCGCCACTAATGTAAGCTTCATTCAACTCAAGTTCATATAGGGATTTTGTGGAGACATAGTGAAGGCTTTTGGTTTAGGGTAGGAAATATTTGGTCTAAGTAGGTTTCATCTTCCCTTAAGCACTTCTTTTGTTTCATTTTGGAATACATTCACTTGACTTTTTGAGTCTTTTCACTTCTTTCTAAGGGGTTAGAGAGACACACTGTCCCTGTTTCTTATACATTTCAAATCTTTTATCTTTCTCAATTTTCCACACCTTTCATTCTTTGCTTTTCTTGAATCCCTTTTATTCATTTCTACATTGAACATTCTTTTTTTTTTGGTCTTTTTGCTCTTCTTTTCTTTTTCATTGCCTTTCCTTCTCTTCATTTTGTACCTTTTTTTACCACTTTGTTGCCATCCTCGTCTCTCCCCCCAATTTTATACTTTTTCCATGTGCTAAGGAAAGATCGAGTGTCAAGAGAGGGTATTCTTTTAGAACGGGTAAAGGCTTGTATCATGGTTCTTGAAGGAAAAAGGTCTCAGGCTCAAAAGGTTGACAAGGGATTTTATCACTGTTAGGCTATGGAAGTTTTCAAGCTATCATTTGGATCAAGGAGAGCCTATAATCATGTCTCAAGTCAAAATTCACTTAGGATTTCGCCTCAACAAACATTCAGGGCAAGTTCTAGACCAATGGCTCGGGACTTGGACTTGCAATGCAATTTCTCACCACACAAGCTATGGGATTGCTAAAGACACAGAGTCGGGGGCCCATAACGACCTTAGATAAGATTTGAGCACACAATGGTCCCGAAAAACCACTTGATGACTATCAGTCAACACAAGAGTCTCAAGGTCACGACTTTCACCATCCTAAACACAACAATTTGTATTTGACCATGAGATCAAAGGCAAATGTGCTAGGCCCAAGTGAAGCTTTGCTTGAGGCACACTTACCACTAACTATTAAAAAGAAAAAAGGAATACAGACTCAAACCCTTAAGAAGGTTGTCACGCCATCCATCATTGGGAAGAGCCACCCGGTTCACATAAACTCCACCTTTGGAAAGAACTGTGACATTAAGAAAACCAAAGGCTTATTGCAAACGTTCAAAACAAAGCTACGAACATAAATAAGAAGCTACGGAAAAGAGAAATTCGAAAAGTAGAATGAATATGTACAAGAGGGGATTTAATCGAATATACAATACGGGGATGAATATATACAATGTAACATAACTTTTATATACAGACGCAAAGAAAAAAGTACGAAAAATGTAATGAAGTACTAAAATTATATACATACCAAAGATGAAAAATAAAGAAAAGTCATGAAATGTGTTAAATATATACAATCATCCAACAAATCAAAGTAGGGCCTACCCCCTTAAATGAAAGCTGGCATTGTCCTCAATGCCAACTAAGTAAAATAAGCACCAAAAATAAAGGGAAAAGGATTAGATACTCCCTATGGACCGCCTGTCTGCATGGAATCCTGAGTGGTCCCTGGGTCCTCAATATGCTCGGGAACCTCAGACTGGTTCCCTATGACCTGTTGCTCTTTTGCTGGGACCTGGGCCTAGACAGGCTCCTGGGCTGCTTCCTGTGGCTGACTGGAGGAGGTCTCCTACGGGTCTGCCAACTGGATGACTGCATCATCAGCACGAGGAATTATCCTCTTCCTCATGGGAGGCCTCTAGGACTGCTCTGGCTGGGGATGAGTTGATGGCATATGGTCCTGTAGCAACAAATCCAAAGGCAGATGATCTACCTTCATCCTGTCAACCTCAACCCTCAACTCCTCCACGGACTCCTTGGACGCCCGCGTCTTTCTCATCTTCTTGGCCTCCCTAGCAAGCTCCTTGAGAGCTTTTCCATGAGACTCCACATCGTCCGTAAGAACTTTCTGAGTGTCAAGGATTTTCTTCTGGTTGTCCAGAATATCCTTGAGGGCGTCCTCAATAGATTGTGGGACCTGTGGAGGCGGAGGTGCCGACTGAGCTGCTACTGTAGTAGTGTGGACAGACAACTTAGAGGAAGTTGTCTGCATCTAGTTGTTGATGCTGAGAAGAGCCTGGCTCAGATGGTGTGCGGTCACTGGGTAGGCCGGGGTAGAGGGTATGTCTGGAACTGCTGAAGTGGATGGACCAGGGGGCATGTCCGCTGAGGAGGAAGCATGTTGAGTAGGAGCCACTACCACTACTGGCTCTTCAGACTGGCCAGTTGGAGCAGTGGTTGTTCCCTTGTAGTTCTTGCCTTTTGGATTGTCATCACCCTGCATGGCATACCATGAGAACGAGGCCTTTTCTTTCACTTTGATATCAAATGGCCGCCTTTCAACTTTGAGGTCCCTGAAGTACATGGTTAAGAAGCCGGGGAAGGGGTAGTTTCTGCCACCTTCACTTACTACCTCTGTAATCACCCGAGACATCACATTCCCGATGTTAATCGGGTACCCCGCCATGATTGATGCTACCAGTACTGCCTGATGAAGAGGGAGGGAGTTGTCATGAGTAGTGGGGTCCAATCTGCTGCACACGAATGTTTCCCACCCCTTGGCCTCGAAATTCAAACTTCTCCTCAAAATTTTCACTCCCGTATTCAACCAATTGGGGGTGGTACCTAGGATTGCTAGATACTGTGCCAACCAAGGACGGACCTCCTCACCTAATTCCATCTTTGCCAAATACAGCGACTCATCCTCCTCATCGAAGCCCAAGTAGTCATTTATTGTTTTCCCATCAAACAACACTTTCAAATTTCGCACCTTGGTCACTTTGGTGCCCTTCTTGATGTGGGCAGCATTGGTGTTCCTTGACTAGGTGCTCTTTGCATCCACACAGTCGCCTAGAAATACTCCCATACCACTCTCTCTCTAAACTTTCTTCTCACATTGGGGTTGTGA